TGAAAAAAGTTTTTTGGTGTAATGATTTAAAATTAAACAAATTTCTGTTTTATACACTTGATGGTATACTACAGGTTGTTTCAAAAAACATGTGCCATAGTGAGGAGATTCCTCATGTAAAAATAAAATTTATTTTTCATATCGACATAGTTTCGATTCTGGTTTGTTTCGTATTGACAGGGGGTTAAATTCTTATTTTTTTTTATTTACTATAATTTTATTGTTGTGCTTTTAGCGATTCGAATGAAATTTTCAGGTTAAAAGTTCCTATAAATGCGACATATTTCAATGTTAAAAAAGAATTTCAATGCTTTTCATTTCAATGCTAAAAAAATCGAAAGTTCACCAGTGACGTGCATAGGGGTTATCACTGGAACATTTTTCTAAAAAAAATTGTTTTCCACTGACTCTTTTTTCTCTTGTTAGCACAGTTAGGCAAAAAATAGGTCTTTTGTGACTAGCTTAAATATCATTATTCTTTCTTGAATTTGCTGTAGGGACCACTGAACACCGGTGATATAAATTTCCATAAAATTTAATAATAAAATTGCTTAAATAAAAAATTTATTAATTTTATTTTTATTTTAATTTTATTAATTGTGATTAACAAAATTGAGTTTATCACATTAAGGAGATCGAAATTGATTAAATATTAAGATACAACTTTTAATCGGCATTAAATGGCTTATACAATTTTGCTAATGAAAGAAAAAAGTCAGTGGCGCATGTTGTTTTTTAGAAAAATATTTCACTGATAACCCATATACACGTCCCTGGTGAATCTATCAACAATTTTTTAGCATTAAAATATGTCGTTTTTATAGTAAGTTTTACCCTCAAAATTTTATTTGAATCGCTAAAAGCATTTTGAAGAAATTTATATTAAATCGAAAAAAAAATGAAGGCTATAACCCCCTGTAGATACGAAACAAAGCAGAATCGGACCTATGTCAAGTTCTAAAACCCAGTATACTAAAATGGAGTCTAATATTTTTAATTGAATTGTAATTGAATTTTTAATTGAATATTTTTTTAATTCAGATAACACTTTAAATGAAGCAAAGGTACCGAGTCCAATAAAAAAATCAAAATCTCTACATTTAAATTTTGAGAAGAGTAATTCTAAAGTGGATTTGGATAAGCCAGTGCCAATGTCAGTGGATTCCACGCCTTTAAGTGATTTACCTGTGCTTGCCACCCCATTAAGTGATTATCCCAGAAGCGTAACACCCAGTAGCATGTTTTTGAGCGTTGAAACGAAAATGGATAGTTTACCAAATACAGCTGATGTTCAGTAATACCTCGTTTAGTTATGTTGGTGACAATCAGTTGGTAACTAAGTTATCATTATAATAGGTAAAAAAAAATCTTAGATATTTTTTAATTTTAATCTAAACTCTAAATCTCTCTATTTTGTAGAGTCTGAAGATCACGGTTCTATCAAATTTTCAAAGAGGTAACTAGAGAGAAGCCAAAAACTGTAACTAAAATTGTCTTAAATTGCTTTTGCCAGAAAGCGTCTTATACCTTTACTGACTCAGTTGAAGTTAGCGAACAACGAAATATTGAAGTATTTTATTGAAGAATTAAAGTACCTAAAACACTTAGAGAGTCTCAGGTCGTATTTTTTTCTCCAAGATGGCGAATTTGGCAGGAACATTACTGAAAATCTGTTTGAAAAACTGTATAATGCTAATTTTCCTTTGGAGTTAATTAATTGTAGAACTTTGCAGCATTTAGGTAAGTACAATTTAAAAAGAAATGTATAGTGTGATATATATTTTGAGTGGTTTTTTATTAATATTTATTTTGAGTAAAGTCTATCGTTTATAATTTAAAAATAGTTTTAAAAAATAATGAAACATATAAACGAGGCTTAATAACTTTGCTTATTTCTCAGTTTTCAGCGCATTGGATAATTCCAGTAGATTTCAAGAGAACTCTAACTATCTTTCATTCAAAATTAATAGTTTGCCGAAATGTTTCGATTTGGGCGATCCGGACGTTTTAGATTGCCTGTCGTTGACGTACAAAGTGAAATGGCCTCTTAACATTTTGCTGCCGTCTGACACGGTGTCAAAATACGATCAAGTTTTTAAATTTCTGGTAAAACTAAACAGGGTGTCGTGGGTATTGAAAAAAATATTTTTAGTAAGTATTTATTTCAATTATTAAATCTGATCAAAGCAAAGAAGAAATTGAGAAAGAATAATATCATCTACACATAAAATTTTACCTGTCGGTTATGTATAGCGTGTCATATCTACCATGCTGGCTACTCTTACTTTTGGGTTGGTATTTACAAGTGTGGAAGTAAATCGCCTAAAGATATTATTAAGTCGGATTGAGAGAAATGCGACTGTGTGTTGTTGCGGCGTTGCCACATATCTCCGGTTTCTGAGCATCTGAAATGGAATTATAAGGATATCGTTAGGGTGTTTTTTTTTATAATGAGAAAACGTCAGTAATCGCGATAATTTAAAATCCCAACTTTTTAACACATAACACGCGATAACTCAAGAACCACATTAGATATTGAAACTTCTTTTTTTATTTTGAAGTTCGTATCTTTTACAAGATGTTTAAATAAGAAAAATTCGATAAGCTTGTTTTTTTCCAAAATTTAAAAAACTATCCATTTACTTTTAGTGCATAGCAATTTTCAGCAATCATGTAACTTTTTTATTTATATAGATTTTCACATACTGTCTGTGAAGAAAATAGAGCAGAAATATTAAGAAAGTTTTTGAAAAAAAAACTACAACCAATTATTTCTGATGGATTTCGAGATATCGATTTTTGAATCGAAAGTTCTAATAGCGCGACCACTGTCGAACACCAACTCATTTCCACTTATTTTTACCAAAAGTGTTTCTAACTTGCACTTAAAAATTTACATGTCGATTATGTCGATCGGTCGACCGCGACGAAACTGCTATATCCCCTTGCACGTCTCTTACCAATGTGCTCAGTTTCTCGGTTTATTTCATACGTTTGGAAACGTCTTTACTGTTCTCTGTTTGTTTAGTACATTATAAACGCATTGTATTCTTCTTACATACGGAAATATCGACCCAAAACTAACCTTTGCCAGCCCTTAGTATTATATGGAAGTCTCGTCTCCCATCAAAATCAGGTCTATGGGGCAGCCCCATATACAGACCTTTTTTTGGTACGAATTAAGACTTTAGAGTGTATAATATTCTTCAACAAAACTGAAACAAAATATTACCTCACAGTAATCTCAATTTCTATTTATTTTTTATTTTGACTGAAACGACAGTTTGTTTTCTTTGATCTTAACCTCGAATTTTTCATAGGAACTGAAAGTACTGGCAAAAGAAACCGGCAAAAAGGAAATATATTTGATGTCTTCACCTCAGTATAGAAAGTTACATCAGTGTCGACACGTTATGACACATTTTATGCAAACCTTTCAGAACTATATCGTCGGTGAAGTGCTTCAACCTAGCTGGGAATTGTTTGAAAGAAGCCTAGAACATGTAACCAATCTGGATGAACTCTATTCAGCTCACATTACTTACATCAAGAACATATTATTTAGGTACGTTTATTTTAGATTTTTTTTTACTTTTTTAATATAATTAATTTTTAAGGTGTATGCTTAATCAAAAGTCAGTGGCTCTCAGGAACATAATCCAAAAGATTTTTATAGTTATGATTAAGTTTTACGACTATCTCAGATCCAGACATTGGGTTTGTGAAGATGGATTGTATGTCCATCCGAATTTCAGTAAACTGGATAAAATTTTCAAAAACTTTGAAGATTTTGTTGTATACTTTTTTAAAGTTGCCCAAAAAGTAACAAAGAGTGGATACCAGCCTTTTTTAATTCAATTTTTAGATGTTCTTAATGTTAATGATTATTACTCAAAGAAGTTGCTTAAAAATACTTAAATAATTTACGCGCTTGTTATTTATTTTGCTGTTAATGTTTTTAAATTATTTATTAAAAATAAATGGTTTTTATATAGTTCATATGAAATAAACTTTTTAGTCACGTGATTAAGCTTGGCGGGCACAGTGTTGCCCACTTTATATATTTTCTTTTAATCAAAATATTTTAGGAAATAAACATAAATTAATTATAAATATATAAACACTTATTATTTACATCAATAAAACTCACCTTAACAGCACTTAAGGGACATAAAGGGTCATTACTACCGCTTTTCCGTTCAAAATATTCTAATAAAATTGTCATGAGTTTTTATGGCTATTAAGCTTGTATCACTTCGCACTAAAAAGGTTTCTTGGAAGGACAATGTTCGACTGTAAGGTTCGTTAAAATTTTAAGTTTAAACTATCACAACACAATTCATTTAAACCAAAAAAAACTCGTAATACAAAAACTAAAGTAAAAAAAAAAAAAAAAAAAGGAAATAAATAAATGTGGCAACATGAATTTTTTTATAGCAGAGCTACAGCCTGAATCCCAGCGGGAAATTTAAATTTCATTTGGTCAGCCTGGCGCCGAATACGTCCATAGTTGGCAACACAATTTAATAATTGCGCCCTCGACACGTAACTAAAAGTTTAATTGGGCATGGAATATATATATATATAAGCATAACATTAAAACACACATTTCTTCTTCATTAACTGTTTCCTTTTATTTTCATTGTTAGACATTTTATATAAATCTTTTAGTTTAAACGTAAAGTTTAAAATACAATACAGTAGTATTAAATGACAAAAAATCTGTAAAATTATTGTTTTTACAGTGCGAATAGCAAATTGGCCGTTATACAGAGGATCAATTATTGTTAATATGGCATAATACCAAGCTTTCAGCAACATCCCATAATAAATCACAAAATAAATAAGCAAAATATATAGTTAAATATTTAGAGTATAAAGAAGAGTATTGTTGAAACTTATGTCTTAAAAAGAAACTATTCTACAGGACACAGCTGGGCAAAGTATAAAAAGTTTGTACCTAAAATATAAAGTAGATTCAAACAAAGAAAGAGATCGGAATATGACCTAATAAAATGCTGTTTCTAACTCAGTATAAAAAACAATCACAGTATATAAAAATAAAAAATAACGCGCGATGAGTTTTATGTATAAGAGGAACATAAATAACAATTTTAAACAGTTAGAAATTTTTAAAATAAACAACAAACAAAACGTAAATTGATTGAAAACATTTACAATAACAATTAATAATTTAAAATAGTAAAAAAATACCAAAAAATGGTAGAACAAAAAATAAATATATTTTTTTGAAATTTAGATGTACAACCAATTGACTTTTACAAATATTTACATATCACACCAAACAAAACTAAACCAAAACATTTTACCAAAAAAAAAGTTTATGAAAAAAAAAACGTAACTAGCTTTTTAATCTTCTTCATCTTTGAAACGTCTGTAGATGGACTGGACGTAGGTAAAAACGCATTTCCAATCTGGCCTTCGGGTTTCTAGCATGTCCTCGACATCCAAAAGTGGTGCAATGTCGGCTTTCTCACTGAAACAATTATATTTACATTACCAAGTATTTTGATACAGTGAAAGTTACTCTTTCAGTGCACATGTCATTCCCTATCAAGTAAAGGCGTAACTGAAAAATCGAAATGAATTCCTATTTTGAGACTTTCCTACAGGCACAACTTTTAACTCAAGATATGTTGTAAATGTATCTCTCACTGTATCAAGGCAGTGATAGTATAGTATACCCCTGCTGGCAAGCGAACCTTTAGGTCGGCGTTTACATGTATAGAAGTGAGTCGTTATGGCAATCTAGTAAGTCGGAGTGAGCAAAATACGAAATATTTATTACAACTACTTACCTGATGCTAGATTCCATGCGCTTGAAAAAATACTTGCCTTCTGTCTTTATTCAGTACATCTTATTTTACTAAGTGTGTTGACCGTACTCTTCGTAAACATGAAAACCGGCAGCCAAGACTAGAAATGCCGACTCTTAGTATATGATCGATATAGTACCATATGTTCGAAAAAACGGCGTCAGCGATGGCTATGAAATAGTTGTTGACAAAGTATTTTTAATAGTTGTATTTAGATATTTTAGATGTTTTTCTTTTGTGTTTTTCTGCTTCCGACGACGCACAGAGGTAATTTCAATTTTTTTAAAAAAAATGAAAAATTGAAATATGAGATTTAAGCAAAAAATACTTGCAAACTATACAAAATTTTTCTCTTTATTTTGACTATGCCAGCCATGGATCAGCATATCCAGTAGAACACCTGCTGCAGCTTGTCAAAGTTGACAATAATCCAAGCGTAATAAATTAATATCTTTTAATGAAAATATTACTCAATTTCAAAGTGGTATTTCTTTATAACGAAATATAATAAAATTAAAATTTAAATGGCTAACACTAACTCCGGTAAGTGTAGATTATTTTTATAGAAACTGTTTTTGGATACTTTTTAGGCTTGAGCAAAATAATTAGGTTACAGTTAAAAGTGAACAAATTTCTGCAAAACAATTCTAAAGTTGTTGATTTATCTGTCCAAAAAGTTAATGATACCTTTGTATTCCCCAAGCACTTTAATTCATTCTTAATATACAAGCTCTTACCTTTAATTTGGTACTAAAACTTACTGCTGTTTTGTGCTGATTAAAATTGCAAATTTGGAAATTTGAATACATAGGAATAGGACCCAACATAACATATTATTTGCAATATAATTTTTCCATATTTTTGTTTTTAGACTTAAATATTGAAATAAGCCACAGTGATTTGTGAAAAAAAAAACAAAGAATGCTCATCAAGGTTTTAAGGCCTTTAAGACGTTTAAAAGTTAAATAAATTTATTATTTGCTTGTATAAAATGCATTAGCTTTTGACATACCTCGGCTGATGTCTCGTGCTATAATAAAATCTTTTAAATCTTTTTTAACAAAATATTATTTTACGACTTAAGAAAGCATTTAGAAGCAGTTTTAATAGATATGAAATAAAAATAGATTTTTTCGGTATCTTTCGCTCGTTGCCCACTGTGCGACGGCAAGAGTATACCGTGCTAGCAACTGTTACGTCGGAAGTAAATCGCATTAGGGATCTTATTAAGTCGGAGCGAGAGAAATGCGACGGTGTACTGTTGCGGCGTTGCCACATATTTCTGCCGGTATGCCTTTCCTTATCAAGTAAAGTAAAATCAATGACTGCAAACGATAATTTTTAAGATTTTTCGAAACGATAACTAGATACAGTGTTAGATATGTTTCTGAGCGTAGGAAATGGAATTATAAGATATCGTTAGGGTGTACATATTTTTATAACGAGAAAACCTCAGTAATCGCGATAATTTAATAACTTAACTTTTTAACACATAACTCGCGATAACCTTCAAGAATCACTTTAGATATTGAAACTTTTCTTTTATTTTGAAGTTCGATTCTTTTACAAGATAAGAATGAGAAAAAATTGATAGGCTTGTTTTTTTTCCATTCAAAAAAATTTTAACAAATTTTTTTTTTTTTTTTTTTTTTTTTTTTTTTTAAAGATTTTCACATACTGTCTAAGAAGAAAATATAGCAGATATATTATGAAAGTTTTGAAAAATACAATCAGTTATTTCTAATAGATTTCGAGATATCGATTTTTGAATTCAGAATTCTAATAGCGCTACCACTGTCGAACGCCAACTCACCTAATTCTTGTTTTTACCAAAAGTGCAAGTGTTTCTAACTTGCATTTAAAAATTTATAAGCTATAGGGAAAATTACAACGACTCATTAATAAATAAACAAATAAAGTATCACGAAACGTAATTAAATCAAAGCTCAACGCATGATATACACCCTTCTCTAGAATTTTAAGTACTGATTGTCGACCCGTCGACTGCATCTGCTATATCCCCCCTATGTCTCTAGCAATGTGCACACTTTCTAGGTTTATTTCATATGTTTGGCAACGTTTTTACTGTTCTCTCTTTGTTCAGCAGCATTATAAACCATTGTACTCTACTTACATACGGAAATCTCGACCCAAAACTAACCTTTGTCAAGTCCTTAGATATACCTCCCGAAACGTTAAGCATTTTTTTTGTCTGTTAGACAAATTTGTATTACTACATAACTTCTGACAAGTAAGTAGTTTTCGTTTGGATTAACGCAGCGGTATTTACAAGAAATAACGGTTTAGTGTTTTATTTTGTAGCTTTTTCTACAGTACAAGTGGCGAAATACTCATAGGACTTTTTGAAGATATGAATCCGCCACACAGGTATAGGCCTTTTTACAGTTCCAATCTAATTGACAGACTTTAATAACGTAAGTAGAAATAATAGGGATGAAAAGAAGGTTACTTAAACTGAGACAGCCAACTGACAGATTGATTGTAATTCATTTGATGAACGACAAATGACATTGGTGTTTTAAAAAATAACTAAAAAAAAAAAAAAAAAAAGAATTTAAAATTATAATATTTACTCGGCAACTTGGAAAGCCAGTTCAAAGTTGTGTCGACGATCTTTTGGCGTGAGGGTGCTGTAATCGAAGGCGTCTGGCAGGAAATGGTGGATGAGAGCGCAAAAGGCTAGTCCGTCTGCCCAGCTGCTGGAGAAGTTGTCTAGTTGAATGTTCTAAAAGAAAGTATTTGTTAATAAAACGTATTGAAAATGTTATAGCTAAAATCGAGTAATAATTTCTCTTTGTTTGCAATAAAATTAAGTAATTTACAATTACTTCATTTAGACTATTAAGAAAGAAAGAAATATAAAAAAAAAAACTTTTAAAATTTCATATTTCGATGCAGCCATCTACAATTGACAGTAATAAGATCGTTTGAGATCAGATGAACATATTATTAAGATTGTTTCAATAGATCATTCACCATGAAATTTATATAGTTTTATAGTTTATTTATTTCTAAGCAATTGCGTAATTAATTTAAATACATGATACAGTTCGAAATAAAGAAAATGCGAATTATAATTTATTAAATTATGAGAAAAAATAGAAATATTTCGAAGATCTGTTACAAACAACAAATAATATTTACTACCGCAGATTGTTATCTAATTATCCTCTAAACTTAAATAAATATAGCTTTGCGATAAAAGCGCAGTTTTCTGGTGCTACATTGCTTCATTTAGTTATTTTTTCTGTTATTGTGATTAAGATATTTTAATGAATGATATTTTTGTGCCTTTTATTCTTTATTATTTAATGAAACAAAATAAAAAAAGAATCGTGTAACGATTGGTTTAAGTTGCATCTGTTAACTTCATTTTAACCCAGTAAATTTTGTGCACGTTGCTGTATTTGGCTTATTTTTCCTAACTCACACAGTTGTTAAAACACACACCTTACACAGCCGTTAATATAATAACACCACCATTCGTTTAAACTTCTGGGAACATCAAAAGTTAAACGAAATACTTTTAAAGTAAAAAAAAGTTGAGACCATGTTGAGATCGTAGATTTCTCATTGACTCGTTACTTGAATAAAAATTTCATTTCTAACCAAAATATAAATGTTACATTATTTAAAAGTAAAATAGACATAGATTTACATTGACCCACAGAAAAAGCATAACACGGAACAGCAAACCAACACAAAAATAAAAGGTGTGTCAAGTACTATGTCATTATGAATTTTTACATTATTTAACTATATTTAATGACAGTTTCTATGAAGGTTAAATTAATAGAAGAAAAATATCTAGTAGTAAGAACACATACAGTTTAAATAAGTATTTCGTTTTAGTGGTGATATTGTCAAGACTTAAGTATAGGCCAACTTGGGTTTATATCATATGTAATGTGAATCAGTTGGTAGTCAGTTAATCAGTTACTCAGTGAATGAGTTAGTTAGTCAGTCAGCGAGTTAGTTGATAGTCATCGAGATCGCGTAGTTTCGAAATATTTCTGTAACTATTTCAGAATACTCTCTCATGGCCATTTCCAGCTATAGTTTTATTACTTATTTTCAGTTTATTTTTATTTAATAAAGAGACCTTTTTGTAATGGGTCTATTTATTAAATAAAAATATTTTCATATATAGTCTATTTATTAAATAGTACAGTATAATAGTAAAACAAGCTGGGAAACGACCAAGACAGAATATCCTGAAATACTTACACAATCATCTCGGGACTGCGCGATCTTGCTGACTATCTGACTGACCAACTAACTAAGTCATTCACTGAGTAATTGGCTGACTATTCACTGCCTGCTGTCTTCTTGAGCATACTCTTTATATCGTCTTCGTCGCAGTGCCAACAAGCGGATGCGTCATCAAATAGTTTTTTGTATATTTCCACTGCCTATATTTGCGACGAACTTCACTTTGAATCTCCACGTTACGTCGACCTGATTTTAGTTGTTTTAATTAATAATGTTTTTTTATAAGAACATGCCTAAGTCGACGTTTACATGAACGATTCCCTTGGGTTTACATCAAATTGGCTTACTGAAGTATGATTTTCCCCAAGTTGGTTTATATTTAAGTCTTGACAATATCCCCAAAAGATTCCCCTAATATCACCAAACTCAGTAATGTTAGTACAAACAGAAACAAAATAAACGGAAGGGGTTAGACTTTTAAAAGGTATGAAAAAATAAAAACTCATCGACAACCTAACCTAACAGAAAGTAAAGCCAGGAACACTAAAAGCATATTTCACAACCAACACCGACTCGTACCTCGTATTCCTTAGTCTTCATCCGACACCAGTGCAAGAGGCGCTCTTTAATCGTGCTCGCGGACTGCGACACGGCGGGATCGGTGAATTTAAAGAGGGGGCCGGTGCCGCGGGGGGTACCCGGGGTGCTGCACCAACCGACCGTTAATAAGGGTTAGACGAAGAAAGAAAGCGTACGGTCGAAACTTCAATCAGTAAGAATCCGCTTGTAGCATTTTTATATCGTTGTAAAATATTTTAAGTTAATTTGCTACGCTTGGTAACAATACCAACCGAGTGCCTATACTATACATGTTGCAACGAAATGTGCGTTAAGAGTTAAAGTTAAATCGTTTTATGGAATGGATTGATATCGTTGCTATCAAGATAAACAAAGATTAAGTCTTTAAATGGTTCTGCTTTGGTTACCTTAATATGGAATGCCTCTAATGTTGTTGATTTTATTTAGGACAACCTGTAGTAGATTTTTATTAGGGATTTTTAGATTTTCAAAAAAAAAAAAAAAAAAATGTAAATAAGAGTTTTTCAGTTTCCATACTTTGAAACGTAGTAATAATATCACTTATTTATTTTTGTATTATTTATTATTTTATTTGTATAATTTATATTACTTGTTAATTTTATTTATATAATGTTTTTTATTTTATTTAATATTTATTTATTTTTGTATAATGACTGATTATTTGTATTATTTATTATTTTATTGGTATAATTTATATTGTTAATTTTATTTATATAATAAAAAAAAACTTTTTATTTTTTATTTTGTATTTTTTTTGTATAATGACTGATTATTTGTATAATGATATACTTATTCAGACAGTTTAATGAATTTAATACCATAGGTTAGAAGAGTTAAACTTATAGCTCAGATTTACTTACTGATTAAAGTTTCTTAGTCAAATATTGCGGGAAAAAATATACAGATCTATTACGTGACAAAGCAATCATTAGAAACTAACTTTCAGGTTATATTACAGAAGAAAATTGGTTTCACAAATAGGAATAATAGTAGTTTTGAAATATACAGTGTAAGTATGTTTTAGTGATATGTGTGAGATGGAAACAAGTGCTTAAGTTCTTATATTTAGATTTAGAATGTAAAGGAATGTAAAAACAACTGTAATTCTTGTAGTCTAAATTTATACATAGTGTTGTATTTTGTAAATAAATAAACATTGAAAAAACGAAAAATAAAAGTTCTAATAAATCATACATTTAGTACAAACTTAAAACATTCTATATAATCTGTGTTCTTATTTAAGAGGTGTATTTTTATTTATTAGGGTGATATAAACGGTAATTTACCTTGGAGGGGTTGGTTTGTTGAGACTGTTTTGTTTGTCCAACTGGCGAAACTTGGCGAAAGGTGACATTGGTTTGGGCGCTCGTACTTGTTGAGTGACCCTCGTAGAAACTTCGAAATATAAAAAATTAAAAAATAATTTTAACAAAATATTTGCTTAGTTTATTTTTACCTTTTGTTGCTCGAAACTTCACTTTCCTTCTTTGTTTCAAGTTCACCTGAAAACAAAATAAATATTATTATTTACAAGATTAAAAGGTATTTTAATTGAACATGATAAATAATGTTAGCAATAAAACAAAATAGGAAATTCAAATCAAACTTTGCATAGGACAGAGCATACAAGACAACCATTTCATAGTATCAACAAGTTTTGAATAGTGTCAAAGTATATCTGTGACAAAATATAATTTAATGTTACTTAAGGGTAATTTAATTTTTAAATCCTATATTTCTTGTCAAAACATAAATTATATTATTGCGAAATAATGTGACTTTTATTTCAATATATAATTTTTTCTGTAATTTACATTTTAATTTTAAAGATAAAAAAACATGTTTTTTTTTTTTTAAATAAAAAATACGTTCTACAGAAACTTGGCTTAATATAAGTTTTTTTTTATTTGTTAAATATAATATTTTACTTTTTTACGTTAATACTATCACGGTCTCTATTGTAATCCAGCTGTGTAAACCTATATAATATTAAATATAGGTAAAATCCAAAAATAACATGTAGTGTGAATCACTCAATATTTTTTAACACTATCTTATTGCCAAGAAGTATAATTTTCTGGCACAACTTGAACACATGAAGATTTTTTAAATTTGTGTTTTGTTTACCCTCCGTGGTTCTATATAGCAGTCTTCAATAGGTGCAAATATTTTAGGGCTAATAGACAGGGTGGAACTGTATTCCGGAAACTTCAGCCGCATATTCTTCAGGTAAAAATAAGTAAAAATTTCATATAAATGTCCTAAATGCTTAGTTTCGTTTCGAGATACAGGGGTGTGAAGTTTCATTTTTATTTCGGCTTTTCCCAAATAATTTATGAAGTAACGTGAATATTTGGTTGAAAATTGGTGTCTGGAAGTTTTTTGACATAAGAAATTTGATTTTGATGTCTGTATGACACCTACTTGTAGAGACGCCACATACATACTTTTTTAACTGGTTTGAGAGTAATAACTTTTATTCCATACCTGTATAAACTAGTTGAGTAAAAAATATATATTACCACATTCTTTCCCACATTCATTTATTTTATCTCTGTATCTCCGACTAAGTATTTTAGAAAATGTCTATACCTATGTGTAGAATATAGAATGTAAAATGTAGAATATATATTTATATGAACTTTTTGTCTTATTTTTCTACTATCCAGAAAAGACCAGTGGTTCTCGATATTTAGGCAAAAAATTATTTATTTAAATTTTCTTTAAAATAATTGGTTATTTTGGACTAGACTGTAATAATATGGTTTCATTCAAGTTATTGAAAAATTACACCACGGACATAAAAAATTAAAATATTTGGAAATTATTTTTTGTTGATACTTGAAAGCTAAACTTGGCAGTCGGCACGAATTATTAGTGCTTGTTGTGTAGATGTAATGATATATATGACCAAAAAAAATGTAATCGTACAACACAATAATGGTTTACTACGACTAGATGGTCTAAACACCACAAAAAACAAAATCTGAAATGGTCGCAAAAAACATGGACGGACAAAACAAATCCGGGAAATTGTTGTGTGACTTGCTAGTGTGGTAGCGATGGCGGGCGGCATTCGCGTCAGTAGGGATAATGGCGGTTTTAGTTAATGAGGTGCAGCGTACACCCACACAGCAGGTATCATTCCGTTTTCGTTCTCACCACATTTTAAGCTTCATCCAGATTCACCATCGATCCAATCCTTCGATTAAACAGCGCCTCTAGCAACCAAATCATTGAACTATTGGTACACGAACTTATAATCTTGCCTGTCCGCACGAAGTTGTGGGGTGTACGCCCACCCTTAACCTTCGTCTCTTTTTTCCTCTCACATCATACAGTCTCTTATTTTTCAAACAAAACAACTTCTTAAATCCATTTTGGTTTGTCCAAACTAAATCTACGGCACTATACAACATATTCCACTTAACACATCAGAAATGGAATGGATACTCGGGCATCTTCCTGATAAACAAAAAATTACTAAAATTAATGTTACGAGGACTCGAAAAGTTCCTCGAAGGCTTTATCTACATTGTTTTCGTCCAGGAGTTGTGGACAAGTTATGTCAGGTAACGTTCGACTTCTACTAAGGCTGCCACTCACTTTGGTTTGGGTGGACACCTTTTCTGACGTTCTAATCCTATTAATACTTCTTCTTACTGTTTTTGCTCCACCATCCGCAGGAGGGCTCTTATTCCCGGACAAGAAAGCTTCCATGGTCTTTCTTTTATGAAGCATCTCCTCTTTGCTCATTCCCGCTTCGAACAATTTTGGCACAGCAAGCGTATTACTCGACTTTGACTTTACTGGACCTGGTTTAGGTGCAGGTTTTTCACTGGTAGTTTGATGTCCCATGCAGATCTGATGCCATGAGTCCGATTTGCTTAGAACCTGAGCTTGAGTAGGAGCTCTAGGCGATTCAGGTGATTTTACGTTGATAACTGGAATATGAAACTGACCAGTTAAAACCGACTGTCCTTTTTCGTTAATATGAAGTTTCTCATTAGATTTAGACACGTTGTTAAAGATTGGTGTAGGTTTCGGTTTCTGTTGCTGCATCGGCTTTACCACTCCACAACTCTTGGCCTCTTTTAAAGTATCTTCAAAACTAGACTTAAATTTGAAGCTGCTAGGTGAAATAGTAGGCTTAGGGCAATCGCTAGGTCTAAAACTGCACACATCTCTACTTTGAGTTTCGCTTTTGTATTTGAAACTCTGACTCAAACCCGGACTTCTGCTGATTTCAGGTTGTCTTGGTTTATAACTAAAACTGTTACTGGGTGACCTGGCTGGTGATTTGTTAGGACTGATGCTGTTTTCTTTGCTGTCTTGCTTAGAGACCTTTTGTAAAGAATTGCGCAAGTTAAAGGCAGCTTCCATGTCATGTTGGTCTCTACTCATAGGTGATTTTTGTTTAACAGTTACTGCTTGTTGACTAACAGGTCCTGTCATTACTCTGCTACTTACAGCACTATGTTCATGCAAACTTTCGTTAGATATTTGTCTTTCTGCTCTCGGTGGTTGAACTACCGGTTCGATAGCTTGAACTGGTACCTTTTGTGCAGGTTTAAATACAAATGTAGATGTAAAATCGTCTTGTTTTTTAGGCGAGTCAATTGAACTTTGACGAATTGGTCGAGCAGTTTGAATAGGTGCTTGTCGATAAACTTCATTTTGTTGTGTTTGTCTAGGTTGTTCGTATTGAAATGGCGTATTTTGGGGTACATAAGGAGGAGTTTTTGGTGACTGAATTACAGGTTGTGGTTTGTCATAAACGATTGAATAATTTTGAGGTTGATAATTTTGGTTTGGTGATGGTTGCGTTTGACCTTGTGAGTATTTATTATAATTTTTCATGAACAGTACTTGTTTGAGTTTGGGGTTGATCATATCGAATCGTATAATTTACTGGTCTATTTTGTTGAGGATATGATTGAGTTTGTGGTTGGTCATACCGAATAGAATAATTTATAGGAGGTGTCGTTTGTTGAGAATATGTTTGATTCTGAGGTTGATCGTAGCGAATTGAATAGTTTACGGGCTGATCATATCTAATGCTGTAATTTTGAGGGGGAGACAGGGGTACAGAATGGGATGGCGGTTTGACTTGAGGAGTATACTGACTTTCGACTACGCTAGTCTTAATTTGATAAGTCTGAGGCCTCTGATGGGATTCAGCAGCTTTATTGTCTATATCTTGATATTGATCGCTTAATTTTCTAACTGTACTTGACCTATTCTCCACAGCTTTATTCAAATAAGAAGGTTTCCGATCTATTACATTTGCATTTGCCTGATAATTAATCACTGCATTTTTATTACTTTCCCTGCTTGATCTTCGTGGTCTAGGTGGTTCTTTAACTGGCGCAGGCTGTTCAAATCTCGATGCAGCCAGACTCAAAACGCGACTACCACCCGTAGTAGCTGCCCATGGTTTTGAACCTACAGGAGAAGTAACAGTCGACGATTCCACAGAGCTAGATAATGGTTTAGGACTGTACAGGAAAACAGAACCACTTTGATCTTTTATTTCGCTTTTGATAAGTTCGTTATTATCAGGTGAAAATACCAACGAAGTTCTATTTGAAGAGGTCTGAGGAACTCTTTTTATCGGTTTAAATGCGCTCTGAGGCGCGTGCGAGAACTGGTTAACGGGTAAAAGTTGAGGTACCACCTTATATTGTTTTTCTGGTTCGGTTTTTACTTGTAACGAGCCAGTAATAACGTGAGACTGATTTGGTTTCTTCCAAGACGGTGGAGCGGCTTGGGATTCTTTCTTCTTTTCTTCGAACATTTGCTGTAAGTTTCTAGCACTCTGCCTACTAATTTTTGGACCGAATTGATTAGGTGTTGACATAGTTATATTGTCATCTGCCGATTTCCAAAAACTTTTCGCGTCATTGCTCGAACTCTTTTCAAACGTGTTTTTGATATTTCCGAATTTACTGCCCCAAACTGATGAATTTTTCGCCCAGGGAGATCCTTTGTTTGAATTGTTATCGTTATGTTTGTTAATAAAAGCAATGAACTTCTTGTCCGATTCTGTTTTAGGCTGGAAAGTTGGAACAATTTTCTTTGTGTGAGGGTTTCCTACACCAACAGGACCTCTAAGAGCATAGCAACTATCTCTTCTTTTGTTGTTTTCATCTTCGTTTTCCGAGTCAGTATCATCATCTTCGTAGAAGTTTAGTGGTTTAGGAATATCAATTGTGTTTGCTCGCTTCATTTTTATCTTCTTCTGAGTATCAAATCTACTACATTTTTCTTCGTGTTTCTGAGACGGTTTAATATAAGTATTTTCTACGGGTCTCTGAGATGGTTCAGAGTAAATAGGATTGCTTTTTAATGGAGCATTTTCTAACGGGGTCGCACTTTTAACTGTACTACTATCAACTTCTTCCTCCTCCTCTTCTTCTTCTACTTCTTCTTCTTCCTCGTATTCCGAACCAGATTCTTCTTCTTTTTCTTCTTGTTTTAGTGCTGCTATCTTACTAGCTGCCGCTTGCTGCGCAGCTTTACAAGCAGACTTAATGCTAACGTTTGAATCTTCGGAGATAGTCCTTTCCATTTTAGCTTGAGGAGATTGTTGTACGATAGTAGAATGATTCTCAGGCGTTTTTTGTGGTATGAGAGAGGAGTCTTTGTCCTTTTCTTCAGCAAAAAAGCCTTCGAAATGTTCAGTAGGGGTTTGTACGGAAGAAGTAGTACTGTTAGAGGAGCTGAAAGGCCTTGCAGTGGCGTTCTTAACTTTGGCCTGATGGATACTGCGATATGAGGAGCTGGCAGAGCTGGTAGGTACGCTACTTTCACTATTCTGCTTGCTTAGTGTCACTTTAGAACTACTAGCGCTCGGTCCAAGGTCATTTAACGAAATTTGCTCGATGAGCCTTCGAGCATCAGCCAGTTCCTCCTTAGACACCCCGACAGTATGTCTCGTTTGTTTATTCTTTCGTTTTTGGAATCGTCCAGTACTGCTTCCCGACGTGGAAGCTCTTCGATCGCTACCGTTCAGTCCCGCCTGCAGCTTACTGACCAACTGCAGCAAGCTGCTACGTCTCTCAGCCGAAATGTCGGTTTGGTCGCTCTTTAACGACACGCTGAGCTTCTCCAGAGCGGCTTGAACTTCGTTTATTAAGTTCGATCTCTGGTCTTCGCCAGATTCGGTGCCGGAATCGGGAGTAATGTCGCTTTCGGGAGCGTCTAAAAGGCCCTTGAGCAAGGGCAGCAGCTGAGACTCACCCTCGATTTGTCCGGCAGTGGGGGTGGTAGGTGTAGCGGGTTCCTCGCCTTTCGTTGCCTGGTCTACCAGGGCCGTGCAGGCTGGAAAAGAAACAATGAGCTGTTAGGGTTAGATGAGAGTCAGTTAAACTTGACTTGAAGGTTGAAAAATCCTTATGATTTTTAATATGGTTAATATCTTATATTAAATATAGTAAAGATACAGCAGTATCTGTTTTAAAACATCCACAGGAAGAGATACATAAAAGGTCATAGCTGTGTTTATTACACTGTCAAAAATTCCAATGATATTGTAGCGACATGCTGTATCTTTTGCTATATTTAATTTAAGGCTAAATTAGAATGAATTATTTCTGTTAAATTTTGTCGCTTGGGTTATTCCAAAGAATTTGACAATAGGATAAGAGAAGTAGGTATCTTAATAAATATATTATAGAATATTTAAAGTTCGAAGTTTTAAATTTATTAAAATAAACATTAAAACGCCTGTCAGTCATTACTTAAACAAATGTATTATAATAATAAATGTATATAGTGTTTTCACAGTAATATAATTGTTAAATAAATTATAAACATGGTAACACTAATGTATATTAAAAAATGTAAATCAATAATTGTTACATTGACTCAGTTACTTCGTTATCTATTAATATGTAAAAATATCTAGAAATTTAGCTCGGCAGCTATTATACAGTGTATATTATAAGGATTAATGCCATCAAAAGCTAAGTAAATATTTTTAGCGCTTCAGGGAGCGTACAGGTACATCTATAGCATTACTCACATACTTTTTGGATATTTTTTAGTTCATATAATTATTATTTTCTGATAAATTGAAGCCAGGACAAACGTCTATGGATTGTGTGCGCTAGACTGGAAAATTGTGCAATAATTTTAAAATTTAGTATATTTGTATTGAGACGTAATGTTATATTATCAGGAATATTCCTTTTATTATTATAAATAAAAACTTACCTTCTTGCTCCGCCATGATTTGGCGTAATCTAGCTCTGATAAGTCTTCGCTCTTCGTAGTCAGTGCTTTGTTCCAACTAAGAAAATACAAAACTTTGTTTATAAAATCATATTTTCCGCCAACTTAAGTACGAATTATATTTTTATTAAACATTATGTATATGTGAAAATATATCAAAGATTGTTTTGAAAAACTGGAAAATAAAATTTTACCAATAATCTTAAGGTTTGCTCGTCCCAAACAGTTTCAAGTTCCTTTTCTGTTACCGGTCTCTGGAAAACTCTGGTTGTAGTTCTTGGTTTGCCGCCTCCTGCAATAAAAGTATAATAATATGTTAAGCATATTGGGAAAGTATAAGCATTTGTTTTGTATGTAAATGAAAAGAGTGACTCGGCTAGAAAAGTTTAATTACTTATTTTTCTTTTATTACAGGAAATTGTATAGGTATATCGCCATAAACAATAAAACAACTGGAAATTTTATTTGAGAAGGTATGGTTTAAATTGATTTTAACAGAATTGTATTTTGCAAGAAATAATTGTTTTTTATTTTTAGTTTACTGTTTCATTGATAAAATTAACATTCAGAACTTTCCAGAAACTATGTTCCTTTACTAAACGGTTGTGATATGAACTACCGCTACTTAATCGAGTTTACAGTACGATGCATTTTTATATAAATCGGCCTTGCATGTATATTGCTTTCGTTCAAATGCGTAGGTACTCTGAAAATAACCACTTCTCAACCATTAATTTCATCTCGCTCGTCTTTCCGCCTCCTGTGTGTCTCGCCCACCGCGATCTATCCATCCCTCGGCCTTTTTCAGCCAGAAACATTAGGAATGTTCAATGTCTAAATATATCGATATAGATAAAAATATATAGCCGATCCTATAGACGTAAGTAAAAATAAAACGAAGTAATCAGACTATATTTGTCAAATCCCCAGCATGACGAACAAAAATAAAAAGTAATTAAAACCAAATGGGTTGCTCTTATCGTCAATTACGACTATTGGGAGTACAACAGCAATTGAAGGTGGTTGCAATAACCAGGAAGCTCCACTTTTTTCGAAACTGCGATTTTTAATGAATTACACTTTAAAAAAAGTTGGCTGATCGTTTCCTGCAACAATCAAGTTCTCTCAATATAACTGTACATAAATGGCGACATTAGTTGGAGCTGCCTTGTTCTGGGTTTGCAGCAAGAACCGAGCAGCTCTCTTCCTATTAATCTATTTATTAAAATGGAGTTGCCTGGTTATTGCAGCCACCCCTTCAATTGTTTATTTGAATTTCCTTATTATTTTCTTTAATTTTTTTCTTAAGTAATAATTTTTTGTTTTATAGAATTTACATATTTGAAATTGTGGGGTTTATAACAATGAACAATAGGATTGCACTGACCAAGAATCTCTTAAAACGGATTTGCTTCAAAATAGTTACTCAGACTAGATTAAGTAAATACAACTGCAATACTAGCCAGAGTAAGATGCTCTCCCTCTTCTCTCTCTCTCTCTCTTGACGATTCCATTTTTGAAAGGAACTTCATAAAAGATTAGGCGAATAGCCAAAATATAAAATTAAAATTATTTTTAAATGTGAGACAACTCTAAGAAGTGTCTTTGAGCAATGAAGTTCTTGAACAATGAGTATACGTACAAGAATACTTTGTGAGTGCGGTGAGTTTCATGAGTAGCAGAGAGACTCTTACTGATAGACTGAGAGATTCTTAACATACGCAAGGAGGGAAAACAATGAAGCCATAAACAATAAATGTATTGCATTGTCCACAAGGAACCTTACTGGAAAAATAATATAAAGAAGCCGTATATCTAGCAATAATAATATCTTTAGCCCCTCGTCCAACTATAAAAATTTCCACAATAGGCAACCACTTAAAACACGTACCAATTGTAAATCGTATAGGAGGGAGAAAGTTAATCACTGGCCGCCTTATAAATCTATTGTCTCCCCCTTTCTTTGTTGTTTATCTCATCATACAGTCTCAGGGTCTTGATAAAAGCCAGTATCTGAGACAGTTTTACATCGTACCAAAGTTTATGGCAAGAACGGTTGTCGTCTCGGCACACGCAGTGATGAGATGTTTCTGTTTTTTTCCCATTTTCCCCACAGAATCCGTATTCGCCGTTGTTTCTTAGCTTCATTCTACTGAGGTATTCACGAGGAGGCCTGTTAAAAATACCGCGACAATCCGAAGATTGTTCTTACTTAAATCAAGGAATATCTTTGATTTTACCCGGTCGTATATTTTGAAAAATTTCCTCGTGTATCTTAGATTTTTGGAAGATTCCCAGTCTAGATATAATGGATGGAGTCTTCCAGGTTCTTGAGTTCTGCTTTAAGCTGGTTTCCACTTGGAAAACTGAACGTTCTGGTCCAGTTTGTGTGTTAGTGCTCGCTCCTTTTCTAGCAAAATTGATTGCTTTTTCATTAACTAACTTCTATCATTTGATGGGCTGGCGCCCAGAGTAGGAGAACTTGGTTTTCTTTGCCTAATTTCTGTAGCTTTTCTAGGAATTTTTTGAGGAACTTCGAACTGATGGTTACTGAGTTATCATTTCTCTCTCTTTTTATCGTTTTACTTATCATTTCTAACAATAATAAAATCTTTAGCAATCCTAGTATGGAAATTTCAACAATATGGCAACCACTCATAAAACGCTCCAATGCAGGTGTTCTTATTAGTTTAGTTCACACTTGATAACGGTCAATGATACTTCTGACCGAAACGTTAGTAACAATGAAAATATTTTAGTATAAATAACTTTTTTTTTAATAAATTCTTCTACTTTCAATAGGATTGCAATGACAGATGAACAATGAAGTTTGAAATGGACCATCTGGCTAACGAGGTTTAATGAGTAGTCTAATAACCGTATCAAAACCTAAAAGTAACGATGATAGAAATATCGATATTTTTAAAATCGATACTTCTGTACATTCCTACTGTATTGTTTATTTTGACCGGGCCATGCGTAGCGCGCAAACGAAAACCACATTGCTAGGCGCGCTCCGTATCGGCCGTATCCAAAATAGGCGACTCGTCTCCGCGAATAAGTCGAACATGCGCCCAAGCGTCCGTAGTGGAATCGGCCTTGTCCTTCGTTCGAAAAAAAAACTATACCTATTATCGGCGTGGGCAGGGTTAGAACATGGATTTGTTTGACGCAAAACTGGACACTTGCTTTAAAAATACTCGCGATTGAAGGCCTTTTCTCTCTGATGTTTTCTCTGAAGACACGATACTTCCAATAATTTCTTTTTTCAGTTTTTTTAGAAAACGGTGTACCCTAAATCAGTTACAGAACTAGAAAACGAGATATTTCGAAAGAATCCTGATTAATTCTTCTTGATCGCGCATTTGGACAGACGAAATTGTGATGTGCCTCTTACGGATTTTTTTAACAATAAAAATGGTTACAATGCAGTGTGTGGTCAAAAAACCCTAGAACGGTGCAGAGAGTCACCGCGTCAGAGTCAGCTGAAATAGTTTATAAATGAACATTGACCAGTATTGACAAAAGACCTGATAAGAAAATACAGGAAAACTGTGGTGGAAATATTAGTTTAGATTCTTCGAGGTGGTTATCGGATCCACTGCGACGTTTTCAGATCAATTGTGGTCAGATTACATTCTCCAGTCCTACCCTTTCCAAAAGGCTAGCAACTTGGAGACTGAACCCTCCATATAGCTCTTCGTCAATGCCTTATCATTGCCTATTACAGAGAACCGCACATTTGCCAGGCTATCGCACCGACATAAAATGTGTTCTGTCGTTTCTCTTTCAGATTGACAGAACCTGCACATGAGTTTGTCCGCCAATCGCGTTAGCTAGATGCCTATTCAGCTTACTGCCCTGTTAGTAAACCCACTAAAGCTTTGGCTGTCTTTCTGTCTTTGCTTACCCTTTTAGGCATTTAAAGCTTATGGTATTACAGACGCAGCCTGTGCAGACTCAGTCAATCACAAGAAGACATTCTATTACTATGTATGTCAGTGTGAGTGCCTTTTGCATTGTACGATAAGTAACTGGTGAAGAGCTATATGGATGGTTCAGTTTCCCAGTTATTGGAGTTTGTGAAAATGTTACGGCAGGATAATGTAATTTGGAAACCTGGTGATCACGATAGGTATGAAAACATTGCAGTGGGAATAGCGAAAATCCACCTCATAACATCTAAAAAAATCTAATCAACATGAGAGATCTTCCTGATAAGTTGTAACAAGCACTCATTAAAAATTGAAGACATTGATGCCCACTAAAAAGATTGCAGACACTAGAGCAGTTAGTAAATCTAGAAAGTTGACTTCCTGATACAAATTGGTTAAACGAAATAATGGTCGAAATAAAACAGATGAGTATACATTAAAACTTTTTAAAGAAAAAAAAACCTTTTCAACAACTGATAATAATGGAATTAAATTTATTAAAAAAAATATCTTCTAAGAAAAAAAAATAAAGATATTAATACAAAATGATGTAAAAAGGATTAAAGACACAAAATCAAAATTAGTACTAGCCTAAAGACACAAGAAAGCTGTGTTAGTTTAGATGACCAAAGAACAAAAAGAGTATCTAATTATATCAAGAACTGTTGATGGAAATAGGTTTCTAATTGTATCATATTATAAATATCCTGCTTAAATACGCGCACTTGTCTCTTAACAATGAATTTCTTTGTGTTAACCTATAATAAAACGCCATCATTTAGTAAATAAAAGATCTTATAAATGGTTTCTTCGAAATTCACCTCTGGATAGGATCTATTGTTTTACTACTGATGTTGTTTATTTATAATTGATTTATTGGTGATTTATTTTATTTTTTTTACAATTTAGAAAAGTGTCTTACAATAAACCTTAGAGCAGTCACAATACTAATAATTCAGGAATGAAATGTTGTTAACGACTGTGCAGACAATCACATTTAAAATGAATATATTTTATAGTATGTCGACATTGTAAACAATGGAAACATATTTATACAAAACATAAGATCCCCTCGCACCACCTGACACTTTTGGAAGAAACCTTTATATCACCATTTTGGGTAAAGTAGGTATATCTAAAAATTAATTCATTTATTTTTTGTTTACTGGTACATTTTTAGCAAAGTAAATCATCACTAGCAATTAATTAGGTACTGGATTTCTCTAATATTTTTCATTTATATAACCCACTTTATTTAGCTTGGAACGAATGGCTGTGGAAAGTAACGATGTATGTAAATTTAGGATCTAAAAATAACAAAACATTGTCCTGTTATTATATTTTCTAAATATAT